ACCCACCAGCCACTCCTCGGAAGGAAGGTTGGGCAATCCTACTTCCGTAGTGATACTGCCTCGGAAACCCAAGGAGGGGTCGCTATGAGTCGGGCCGACTCGACGGCACATAACAACAACAACTATTTAAAAAAAAATGTATTTGTATTTGCTGGCTATGTACACAACCAAACATATATACATTCACAATTTCTACAGAAACAGTCAATTGCAGTAGTTACGTATTTCACTTTGTGTCACCATTCTACATTTTTTCATCGGCATTAATTCAGGATTTTTGCCCCTTAAAATTCTCATCTATGCTTTAGATTAACTGCTATCATTTTTCACCCATATATATAATTTTTTCTAAGGGCTATGCTCAAGGCAAACATTCTTTTCTAAGCTGTTGTTTCATTTAATAATGGCTTCATGGGACAGATTCTGTTCTTGATTTAAAGACTATTTCTTTGCATGAACTTCAGGGGTTACCCCATACTTAATTGGTCCAGTATGTCTAGTTTTCATGAGTTTGAATTTCTGTTTTGAGCTTTTCATCCTTTTGATTAGTGAAGAGCCTTTCTTAAAGGTACATTTTGAAGCTATTCTGCTTTGCCAAGATATCTGTGAAACTCAGTTCATTCCTGGAAAATGATTCTAGCAGAAATCACTATTGACTCTTTCAGGTTATGTGTGCCAATGAAAAAGTAACCTGACTTATAGTTCCTCAGCTGCTCTTTCTAACTTTCAAATACCACTCTTTCCCCTCACCCTGGCTTACTTTCCCTTTCCTCGTTCCCCATATAAACACAGATCCACATTCACACACACTTTTGCGGAAACTGCTGTGGATTTGGCCTTGTGTAAACACACTATGAGAAGGCTGACATCTGAGTGGAGCTTGTGATTTAACAACATACTTAAAGCCTGCATAAGCAGTGGAGCAGATGGTGTGTTTCTTCTCTCCTTTCCAGCCATGTGTTTGGTGTGATGTCGTCCTTGTTTCTGCAATTTGGTCATTTCATAGATGGGCAGGACCACCCCACAGGATGTTGTCCTGACTTTCACCTTGTGTTTTGTGTCTCATTTAATTTTTCTTCTACCACATAGTCACCTTCTCATTTGATTGATTGTAAGCCTATAGTAGAAAAGAGTTATCAATGACACCAATTCTTGGGCATGATTTGTGGCATAGAAACAAGATCCAGATAAGATCGTTAAAATAGTTGCTCTTGATTGAAGCAAATACTACTGACCTTTTATATGTTGCTTCTTGTTCTTATTCTGTGCATTACATATTAAAAGATAACTTTTATATCCATTCTTAAAATGACTCTACACTTGCATATATCAGGAATTTCTTTATTTTGCAGATAGTTGAAATAAAGCTTAGGACACTTGATTGTATTATCTAGAATCACCAACAAGCCTAGAACTAGGATCTTTTAAATCTAATTTCCTGATAAGTTTAAACTACTTTATTGATTCTCTAGTGCTGCTATAACAGAAATACCACAAATGGATGACTTTAACAAACAGAGATTTATTGTCTTACAGTTTAGAAGGCTAGAAATCTGAATTCAAAATACCAGCTCTAGAGGCTGGGTGAAGGCCCCTCAACCTTGGGCTTCAGCTTTGCCTGTCAACCCATTTGACTAGCAACCTAAAAGTTGGTGATTCAAATCCATGCAGAGGTGCCATGGAAGAAAGTCCTGGCAAATTACTTCTTATAAAGATTACAACCAAGAAAACCAAGGAATCCTACTCAGTAACACGTGGTCACCATCAATCAGTATCAACTCATTGTCAATGGGATTTGTTTTGGTTTTATTTGTAATTATGTCATTGTAAGAATTAACTATTTTAACAAGGACTATTATAATAAGAGGGGAAAAATTAAATTCCAGAGGTTTGTTTTATTTTATTTATTTATTTAGGAGCTCTGGTGTCACAGTGCCTAAGGCACTTGACTGCTAACCAGAAGGCTGACGGTTCAAACCCACAAGCCACTCCTCAGAAGGAAGGTTAGGCAATCTACTTCAGTAGTGGTACTGCCTCAGAAACGCAAGGAGGGGTCGCTATGAGACAGGTACAACTAGACAGCACATAACAACAACAACAACAACTTATTTATTTATTTATTTGAGTGACATGTGACTATAGATGGTTTGAACTCTCTGTGGGGTTACAGGAGTGACTTTTCTACAACATGATATATACAATTGCGGAAATAACTCACAATGCACATGAAAATCTCATGAGAAAGGAGTTAGGGGAAAAAAAGTTTTGAGGTACAACACTAAAATTTATCACCAGTGACACATAAAATGAATATAAGAAACTAATAAAAATGGTAGCATAGTTTTATATATATAAAGTGTGTAAGAAATATATCAATACTATAATGAATATGGTACTTTGCCTTTAAAAAGATTTGCAGATTGCTGGTCAAAGTGGAAATTAGAAGAGTTGAGAATTATTGTAAAGTGGTGGAATGAGGGTTATGGGAAATTGGAGGAAAGTTGTAACAGATTGAATGAATGTGCCCAATAATATAACAGTGATCTGAGATACTATGTTGATGCTTGATGTGTGTATGTAAATATGTGTGTTGTGTGTGTTTTGTTTATATGGCTCGGTTCATTTGGGTTCATTTTTCTGGATTCTAATGTTTCTTGATTACCAAATTGGGCATAAACAAACACAGAATTAGCATTATATTAAATTTTTTTTTTTCCTAATCTAAAATAGAAGAACACATGTGCATTTTTAAAGAAGTGTTTTGAAGGTGTTTGTGCACCTCTTTCCTTCTGTGTACTAGGCCAGGAGTGAAGTGCCCTCAGTCACTTCTTTGAATTTGCTGCATGGTCATACACTCTGAGGTGCTGGTGCTATCTACAATTTTCATGATTCCTATGATTCCTTTTCACTGTCTTGTTCTGTTTCATGCTTGTTCAATGCTTCAAATGTTTTTCACATATTTGTGTTTAGGAAAAACTTGAAATACACTTTTCTTGTTGATTTTTAACAGATTTAATGAACAATATTTAGTGGTTATAATTAATTTTCCTTCCATTAGCTGAAATATTGCTCTTGAAATACGATTGTAGTTGCAGCAGTGTATCAACAGCTAAATGCATGAAATTCAAGCTGCATTCAGAAGACGACATGAAACAAAGGATATCATTGCTGATATTAGATGGATGTTGGTTGAAAGCAGAGAATAATAGAAAGTTGTTACTTGTGTTTTATTGACTATACAAAGGCTTCCGATGTGTGGATTATAGCATACTATGGATAACATTGTGAACAATTGGGATTCTCAGTCACTTTATTGTATTCATATGGAACCTGTACGATAGAAAAAGAGGCAGTCATTTAAACAGAACAAGGAGATACTGCACGGTTTAAAATCAAGAAAAGTGTTTGTCAGTGTTATATCCTTTGACAATACTTATTCAATATGTGTGCTGAGCAAACTCTTTGAGAACATGGACTATATGAAGAACAATGGGACATGAGGATTGGTGGAAGACTCATTAACAATCTGTAATATGAAGATGACACAACTTTGCTTGCTGACATCAAAGAGGACATTAAGCACTTACTAATTAAGATCAAAGACACCAGCCTTCAATATGGATTACAACTCAACACAAGGTGAGTTAAGATCCTCAGAAATGGATCAATAAGGTACATCATGATAAATGGAGAAAAGATTGAAGTTGGCTAGGATTTCAGTTTGAAGAGGAATGGTGTGGCATTCATCATCACAAAAAATGATTCAAGATCTGTCCTGAAGTACAATGCTATCAGTGATAGGATAATATCCATATGCCTACAAGGAAAACTCATTAATACGACTACTATTGACATTTATCACCAACCACCAAAGCCAAAGATGAGGAAATTTAAGATTTTTATCAACTTCTACAGTCTGAAATTGACAAAACATGCAATCAGGATGTGTTAATTATCACTGGTGACTGGAATGCAAAAGTTGGAAACAAAGA